AATTTGTAAGCTGTGGAGTTTTTGTGTGAGATCCCCAAGATAGCGCCCTGGTAAGATCTGATGCAGTGCCTATACCGTTTTCAGATATTATTGTTGGTCCCAATAGTTTTCTACAATTTTGCTTAAATACCGATACAGATACAATATGAACAATTATAATAAACGTTACAACAGTGTTCAATAATGAATAACAATGGTTAACAGTGCCAGTTGTATTAGATGGAACTTTAAACCTCAGTGGATTAGTTTTGTGAGTTCTGAGATAAAGGTGGGTAAAGTAAGGTCTTCTTAGTCGCCCCAAGACACTGTAGGAGTTCCAAGAACCAATATAGGTTTGTCTCGGATGTGGTGTAGGTGGAAGGGGTTTGGGGGTAGTATTATCTGTAGTAGATAAGTGACCCTCTAATGAGAGGAGGGGTAGTCTTCTATCTCGATGCAAAGATAGAACCCTGGATGATTTTGGGTAGTGAGGCTTTATAAAGAAGAGACCGGGGTGTGGTAATCCTATGTTCTAATTTTCCTGTAGGATAATGTTTTATATATCCAATGATAACTATCTACTGGCTAACATGGGTAGTCCTGGATGGGGAAGGAGGGGGGGTGTAGGGGAGGAGGTAGGGAGGAGGGAAAAGGAAGGGAAAATGGGAATTCAGTGATAGGGGATTTCGTGTTGATTTAATGTTTCAGTTGGTCCCATACATTTGTGTGAATGATTAATATACATCAAAAATTACAGGAGCAATAAGACAGTTTGCGCATTATATATGATACAACCTGTCAAGCGTATTCCATGAAGAGTGAACGTATGAGGTGAATGAAAGAGTCCACAGTGTTTATGGTAGAGAGACATTTGCAGTACCGGTAGTACTCATTTCTAGCGTGAATATTTAGCAGGTATAGTGACCATATTCCGACATGGGGAGATCTAGCCATAAGTGAGTCTGTTCCGTTAGAAATAGACCTATTTATAGTGGAGATGGCATCTTCATAATAATGTTAGTTTGTTTTCTTCTCCATTGGATGACTACATTTCTCAAGTGGGTGGTATGGTTCAGTTAGTAGCCGTTGGTAGTTGAACTGGTTAGTTCCGTCTAAGCGACAATGCGGCAAAGTGCGCGGGAGGTCAAGTTGACATTGTGATCTCCACGGGATTAAATAGGTCCTGTCGTTAAGGTGGGGTAAAATAGGGTTATCCAGGCTATGCGTAATCAAGGGTGGTAGGTCTAAGCTTCTCTAGAGGTTCCCCTCAAGCCGGGTGGTCTGACCATTGGTGGTAGGTTTCATCTCGGATGCCTCTTTGCCTTTGTTGGGATGATAGGAACTGTTGTTCGTTTCTCCTCTTCTTTGCTGGTGTAAGCCAGCGTTGGCGTTGTGGGGGGCCTGTGAATTCTTGGTTTGGCTGAGGCGAATTCCAGTCTATGATGGGGGTATCAGGTAGGTCCAGAGCATTGAGGAATGGCGGGATGTCAAGGGGGGAGCTGATTGAGACTGTGTTCCCGTTGTTGGTCACTATCAGAGCGAAAGGAAACCCCCAGCGGTATTTGATATTCCGGTTTCTTAGGTGTTCTGTTATCAGTTTTAGGGCTCTTCTTGCCTGTAGAGTATACCAGGATAGGTCAGGGTACACTTGTATAGGATGGTTGTGAAATAGTAATGGTTGTGAGGTATCTCTTAGCATTCTTAGGATATTATCCTTGATAGAAAAGTAATGTACCTGGCAGATAACGTCTCTTGGGGCCTCCGGGGATAGCCCTCTTGGTTTCAAGGATCGATGGGCTCTGTCAAATATTATAGTGTTGTCGCTCGGTTCTCCCATATTGAGATTAAGGAGTTCAGTCAGTACCAGTGTTAAGTCCTCACCTTGGATCTCTGGTAGTCCTCTTGTACGTAAGTTGTTTCTGCTTCCGCGGTTACCTAAGTCATCTATGTGCCGTTGTGTGGCAACAAAGTGAAGTAGGTGTGAATCAATTGTTGACGATATGTTTGTTATTTGTAAAACGTCCCTCTCTTCTTCTAGATCCGTGACCCGGAGAGATAGCTGTTGGACGTCTGTGCCCATCGCCTCCATTTTTTATGAGAATGTGGCCTCGAGCTTCTCCATCATTTTTTGCAGATCATCTTTAGAAGGTAAGTTTTTCAATATTTCTGTGATGTCTGGTTCAGTATTATAATCTGTGGATTTGTGTGAGCCCTCCGATATGGCGGGACTATTAGGTTGTGGATCTGAAGTTATTTCCGTCTCTGCCAAACTGTGTATCGCGGCTCTGGCCTCCACCTCGTGGTCAGAATTTTCTTTGAAATAGCGGGTAAGTGAACCTGATTTAGAGGTTGGGGTTTTCCCGGTTTGCCCCTGCGACATTTGTTGTTTCTTGGGTTTGCCCATGTTGTGTATAATTCTCTGATTGCTTGGATTTAAGCCAGGTCTCAGGGAGCAATTTCAGTGTGCGTCCATTAAGCTCCGCAGCTTGCCACGCCCCTCATGGTAGGGAGGTAATGTTATGCTCTGAGCAATGTTCTTCTGGGTAACCTTTGGTCCTGGGATTCATGTAAATGTTAGTTTGATATGTACCACCTACCTAGAGATTGTTACAGACCCAGTGCACCCTTCATGGTGTTCCCTGACAGCAGTGGACTCTTTTATCAGGATAATGCACTCTGCCACACTTGAAAAATTGTTATTGCCTCCAGATTCTCAAGATTTCAATCTGATTGAGCATCTGTGTGATGTGCTGCGCTGTGGAATATGTTGGTGCTCTATAAATGCCAAAAATAATAATACTAATTAATAATGATGTGCTGGAACAACAAATCCGTTCAATAAAGGCCCTACCTCACAACTTGGAGGACTTAAAGGATCTGCTGCTATTGTTTTGGCAGCACGAGGTAGACCTACACTATATTAGGCAGGTGGTTTTAATGTTGTGACTGATCAGTGTATTTTTCAAATAACTTTAAAATAAAAAATGGTAAACTAAATCTCTTCAAATGTGTGTCCTTAGAAATATGGCCAATGGTGTAAGTTCACAAATAATTTTAGAAAATGCAAATCTATGCATTTTAATTCTCTACATGCATCTTTTATCGATTACCATGTGGTGCATCTTTTATCGATTACCACCTCAAATGGCCAATAAATAATTTGGTTTGGCAGCCATTTTGACATTCTCACAAATGTTTAAATATATCACTGAATTACCAACAGAATCAAAAATGTTTTATAATAACTCTTTCAAATTGGTGTTTTGACAAATGTCTATGGTGTGCTTTGTCATTTCTAATATGGTGGCTATATGTTATGTGGTCTGGCAGCTATATTGGCAAAGATGACTAATTTTGAAAAATCTTTAAATACATTTATAAAATACATACATTTTCTATTTAACTCTCAACCTGCAATATCTTCTCACATGTTATATTCAGGATCTCATGCGTGGACACATTAATTGCTGCTTGCATCGCTATATTTTTCATTGTTATGTTTCTCTAAACAACAATCTATACAGAACAATTGCTGTTTTATTATACATTGATGTGCTAGCTATTCATCACATTCCAAATAAATGTTATGCTTATATGTTTTCAAATAAAAAGTGATTGGTAGTGAAAGAGTTAAAATAGAGCATGTGAAATTAAATCATAAAATAGTTTATTTTAAAATACTTATTAATATCTGGATATACATTAGATTTTGTAAATTTGAATGACTAAAATGGCCATGCATGCACAAAATAATTCTTACTGTAGCTTGACTTAGGTCATTACCTTTAGAAATCAGGAACTTGTGGTAACATTATATTTATTATGTAAAAAACTGAACAGTCAAACAAATTGTAAAATTGAATGGTCAAACAAATGTAAATCTTGACAATTTTTTTAACTCTGAATATCTATGTTATGTTTTGTGTTACTCATTGTTACAATTACAATAAATCATAATAAATGAATTTTAATAAGTTACATAATATAAAATTCAAGTCACCAAAATGCTAAAAAGACATTGAACACCGAAGCAAATAGTCTAATGATTTAAAATGGTACTGTAATGGCCACATCCAGGTTTTCTTTTTAACTCACCCTCCAAACTCCACTACATTACATTGTCCCTCTACTCACCACAAATGCCCCTAGATCCTCCATTTTACCATTTTTTCTATTCCTTTTTTTCTTGCTCGGACCTAGGTCCTAGGTGCCGCCATTTTAGTGTGGAACACGTCATTTGCCCACACTAGATAGCACTGTAAAATTCCTGTGCATTCCCAGATGAATACTTAAGCATTCGCTATGGCGGACTTAAGCTCCTCCTTTGGTCAACAAAGGTTAAGCGTAGGAAAAATACATAAGACAAAATAGTCCCTACTTTATGTTATGTTTTAAAGAAAACTAGATCAGATATGAAGAAAATAAGAACAGATTCTGAGAAAGGAAGAAAAGAGGAAACAAAAGGAAAAAGGTAAGTTCGGCAAGAAAGTGCCACTTTAAATTAGTTTTTTATACTTACCTGCATTTTTTTACTTAAACATTATTCTTTTTTTCTGTAACCATGAAAAACAATCTGTGTATAAGGTAGCCTTTTTGCTTAATGATATGTGCTTGTTTAGCAACCAATGTTTCAAATAACTGTTACTCTATGATTGTTACTCTTACAAAAAAATCATAGTAAAAGTGTAAAAGCAACTGACATTTGTTATCTTCTATGAATGAAAACAGTAATGATTTGCAGAATTATTTAAACTCAGTTAATTAAACTTGTATAACATAAAGGAAGCAACAATAAAATAGTTTAGCTTTGAAGTTGCAGGTGTGTTGATGCTTTATTTGTTTGAAATCAGTGTAATAATATTCCAAGCAATGCTCATATTAGCCAGTAACATCATTTATTGTGAATGGATTAACACCCATATCAAGTATAAAAGCAGACAGTTTTTGTTCAGAAGATGTGAATCTCCTGTGTAAACCTAACCTGGTCTTGACATCCTTGCATCTCGTCCGTGAAAAGAATAATGTCTCATCACTCCATTCTTGGAATCTCTGGACATAAGAACTTCAGCTCCTGTTCAATGGCTTCTCCTAAACATGGAAACTCACACCACACATTCTCTCACTCCACCAATTCTGGAGTTCATGGCCATAAGACATTGCATTGCTTTAACAGCACAAGTGCCCATGGTGTGGGTTCCAAAGGACACAAGATTTCAATGGGAAGTTTTTATTCTGGGAAAAGTGGACAAGGATCAGGACATGCATCTGGTCATGGTGGAGGAATAAGCACTGGATTTGGAGCCATCACCTCAGTTACTGTGAACCACGGTCTTCTAGCTCCTCTCAACTTGGAGATGGACTCGAGTATTCAGCGAGTAAGGACACAGGAGAAGAATCAAATTAGGGGTCTGAATGACAAATTTGCTTCTTTTATTGACAAGGTGAGATTATTTTGCCTCATTAAGAATTAGAATATAAAATATAATGTATACATTATTTTAACCTGTTCCCCCCAAATTATCTTCCTTTTAAATAACATATGGTCACATAAGAAGAAGAGATTGACCTTTTTGTTTAGTTGATTCGATGCTATGGATATGGGTCTCAGTTGTTTATATTGAACTTCAGCTAATGTTAAATTACAGAAGATTGTAAGACTGTATTATCTCAAATCGTACTGGAAGGATTTATATGCGTAAAAGTAAATTGTATTGTGATAATGTCATATAAGCTGAATACTTACATTTTCATTATAGTGTAATATAGAAGTGGCCTCTTTTTATATTAAGAAAATTATTTAAAATTTTAAGAGGAATTAAAAAATGTCTTCTCTGTGGTCAGGTGAGATTTTTGGAACAGCAAAACAAGATGCTGGAGACTAAGTGGGCTTTCTTACAAGAACAGAAGACTGCTCGCTATCATATTGAACCCCTTTTTGAGGCTTTTATCGGTAATCTCTCCAGACAGCTGGAGAATCTGAGTTGTGAAAGAAATCGTCTGGAAGCAGAAAGAACCAATATGGAGCAAACCGTAGAAGAACTAAGGAGAAAGTAGGACATTATTTTAATATTAGCCCTTACTTGAACATATATACATGAAAAACGAGTGTTTCTGAGAACAGATAATGAATAATGCAATATACAATATATAGTGAATTTCACAGAACAAATAACTTTCAAGCTTAAATGTTTTTATTCACATACCTTAAATAAAATTATTATTATTTAGTTAAAAAATAGGGTCATAAACTGCGTAAACCAGTTATTGAATCAAAGTACATAATTATTAACATATCCCTTTCTAATCATTGCTTTTTTAAATGACCACATTTTACAACTAAATCTCCATCATTTTACATAAAATAAGTAATTTGGTGTTCTTTAGAACAAATATATATACATACATATATATATAATATATATATATATATATTTATTTTTTATTTTATTTTTTTGGAGATCATTTTGTGGTGTGTTGCATTTAGTATTTTGTACAATAAATTTTACATCATATATTTATGTATATTACTTTAATAGTGCTTCTTAATGATTAATATTTCAGATATGAAGAGGAAGTTAATAGACGCACAGCGGCAGAGAATGAATTTGTTGGACTAAAGAGGGTAAGGAAATTTATGTTATTACTCCCAACGTGAACCAAAAATAAGTTTTTAATAAAGGTGATTATTGTTCTATAACTGTACATTCCTCTCTCCTTCAGGATGTAGATGCAGCTTTTATGAACAAATCTGAGTTACAAGCAAAAGCAAGTTCCCTCTCTGATGAAATCAATTTCTTGAGAACCCTCTATGATGCGGTAAATATATTTTCCAATTTAATATTAAGAATTATCCTTGTTCAGTTACAATATAACCAAAACATTTCGGTTTTTGTAAGTATGTCTCTTGGGGTAAATATTTGTGTGTTTGTTTTGTTTTACTATAGGAAATAGGCCAGCTCCAGGCTCAGATCTCAGACACCTCAGTGGTTGTGTCTATGGATAACAGTCGGGATCTGGATCTGAATGGAATCATTGCTGAGGTCAGATCTCAATATGAGGACATTGCTAACAGGAGTAGAGCTGAGGCGGAAGCCATGTACCAATCACGGGTGAGTCTATCATGCTTAAATCTTAACGAGTAAGCAGAGCATATTTTAGTAGATAATTCCACTCTTTTTTCATTGTTATTTACAGTTTGAGGAGCTTCGCACAGCTGCAGGAAGGAATGGGAATGATCTGCAGAGCAGCAGAGATGAGATCTGTGAATTGAAAAGATCAATTCAGAGATTGAACGGGGAGATTGACAGTGTGAAGGCTCAGGTGGGTCTTGTGGGCCAAAAGGACACTTTTCTAATAAAATAAAAATGATAAAGATCTGCTAAAGAGCTGTATTTACTAATCTTTTATTAGCGCTATGCACTTGAATCTGCAATAAATGAGGCTGAAGAACGTGGAGAATCTGCTGTAAAAGATGCCAAAAACAAACTGTCTGAGTTGGAAGGTGCTCTACAGAAGGCCAAGCAGGACATGGCTCGCCAACTGCGAGAATACCAGGAGCTGATGAATGTGAAACTGGCTCTGGATATCGAGATCGCCACCTACAGGAAGATGCTTGAAGGAGAGGAGGGCAGGTGCGTGAAAAATTCTACTGATATGTTACTGATTCTGAATGTAAACTATGCATTTGTCTAAACTCTGCTATGGTTCGCTTTTTCAATTATTCCCCTTCTAACTTCATCTTAATTTGTGTACTACTTGAGTCTTTATCATGATAAAGAATTTTTACAATTATGATAAGCAACATCTTGTATTCACACTGACCCTATTGATCTGCATCCCAATGCAAACTGCATTAAAGATACAAGCGCCTCATAAATGCCCATTTTTTATAGTTCTCCAAAAATTATGTAGATCATACAGGTATTACAATCTTCTTGCAAAAGGTTGGAGGGACCATATGGTCTCAGGTCTGATTAGAAATTAATTTCTATCAGTTACAAGTTCAGTTTTTTTTATACACTGCTAATAATGTAATGTTTAACTAATAACTGTTTTCTTGTTTATTTTAGGTTGTCAGCACATGACTCTGTTAACATATGTAAGTGATATATTACATTGACACATTATTTTAACTCCTTAAGGACCAAACTTCTGGAATTAAAGGGAATCATGACATGTCACACATGTCATGTGTCCTTAAGGGGTTAAACCATGTTAATAAAGCTTAAAAATATGTTATAAAGTGCATGTCGAGACATGCAGTATGATTGTGGGGCTCATTAAATGTATAACATGGTCAGTTTCCTGTGTCTGATGATAAATTATTATTTTTTTTTTAAATTGGAGATATTTTAAATGTCACATATGAATGCGTTTTAAAGTCCATCATACACAAAAAAAAGAAGATGAAGATGAATACATATAAATATATATCACCTTACATAATGTGTCAAGTAAAACATAAACTATTAAAATAAAGTTCAGACATTATTTTATATACTTACTTTAATGTTGTTTCTTATGCACCATAGAATAAAATGAGGATTTGGTAATCTCCAGTTCTATCATCTTCATCCTGAACCATATACCTCCAAATGTTTAATTATGTTGGGCACCAATAAAAATTGTTATTGAGTTGTATGACGATTGCATGCTAATCATTACATTTTGTAACTGAACCTTTCAGCTGTACTACACTCTAGCACTGGAGGAAAGCATAGCTCTGGAGGGAGGTCTCACAGTTCAAGCAACCATCAACACAACGGAGGATTCAGTGCCAGCAGTGGAAGGAGCTTGAGCCTCATCTCAAAAAGTAAACACAGCACTGGTCATGGACACCACTGTTAAACTTAAAGCATAGCAGAGAGAGTAAAAACTAAAATAAATGTGCATATCTTAGTAAATGCACCAGCCACATTTTGCTAATCTGCTGTTTTCAGTTTGCAAAGAATAAAATATATTTAATCCCTTACTCATCAATGTAATTTCTGCATGTCTTGTAGATATGTTATCATTTTCTGTAATGTAGCACTTGATTAAAATTATATTCACACTGCAATTTACAAAATTGTGCTCTTTATTCTGTGTAATTTTAATTAAGTTAATTGTAGATTTATTTCAGAATTTGATTGAATGGAGAGAATGCATCTTTATTAAAGGGACACTATAGTCACCAAAACAACTTTAGCTTAATAAGGAAGTTTTGGTGTATAGATCATGCCCCTGCAGTCACATTGCTTAATTCTCTGCCATTCGGGAATTAAATAATTTTGTTTATGGAGCCCTAGTCACACCTCCCTGCATGTGACTTACACAGCCTTCATAAACACTTACTGTAAAGAGTCATCTAACATTTACACTTCCTTTATTGCAAACCTTTTTTATTTTGAATTTCCTGTTTCCTGTTCTGTTAATAGCAAGCTAGACTTTGCAGGAGACTCTTGTGTGTGATTAAAGTTTAATTTACAGAGCAGGAGATAAAAAAAATGTAAAGTAAGTTACATTAGATTGAAAATGAAACCATTTTGTTTTCATGCAGGCTGTGTCAGTCACAGCTAGGGGAGGTGTGGCTAGGCCTACATACACAGAAACAAAAGTGATTTAATTCCTAAAAGGCAGTGAATTGAACAGTGAAACTTCAGAGGCATGATCAATGCACCACAACTGCTTCATTAAGCTAAAGTTGTTTTAGTGACTATAGTGTTCCTTTAATGACATCAGTCCATAAACAATGATGTAATGTCACATTTCTGACATTGCTCATGATGAATACACATTGAGAACCTAAGGTGCATGTGCAGCAATTGTAGTACTCCATATGAGATGTATTAACAGAGTTCGGTATTATTATAATGTGCATAAAGATGCCAGGTGTGAGGACCGTTGATATTCAAAGGTCTTTATGAGCAAAAGCCTCTAGTGGCTTCCATTTTGGCATCCACTAGAGGCATGTTCTTAGTCAAAGATAAACACAGCCTTTACATGCTTACACTGCTTACATCTGTAAACCAAAACCACTTCATTAAAATAGAGCAAGTTAGGTCTATCTTCCGCGTCTGTGAGTTGTCTCTATTGTATTTTTTTCTCCATATGGTTATATCTGTTTCTCTGTTCATTAATTTTGAATTGGAGTGATTAGATTTTAAATTTGTTTTCTTTAACCCCTTAGTGACCAGAACGTTTTTCAATTTTCTTACTGTTAAAGACTAGGGCTATTTTTACATTTCTGCGATATTTGTGTTTAGCTGTAATTTTTCTGTTACTCATTTACTGTACCCACACATATTATATACCGTTTTTCTCGGCATTAAGTGGTCTTTCTAAAGATACCATTATTTTCATCATATCGTCTAATTTACTATAAGAAAAACTTTAAAATACGATGTAAAAATTCAAAAATACCACACTTTTTCGAACTTTAACCCTCCAAAATCTGTTACGCATCTACAACTGCCAAAAACACCCATGCTAAATAGTTTCTACATTTTCTCCTGAGTTTAGAAATACCTAATGTGAACATGTTCTTATCTTTTTTTTCTCGAAAGGTTTAGGGCAATAAGTACAAGTGTCACTTTGCTATTTCCAAACCACTTTTTTCAAAATTAATGCACGTTACATTGTAACACTGATATCTGTCAGAAATCCCTGAATAAACCTTCACATGTATATATTTTTTAAAAGAAGACAACCTAAGGTATTAAACTTGGGGTATTTTGACTCTTTTCATGCAACCATTTTACCACCAATCTGTGCCAAATTTAAAAAATAAATAATTGATTTTTTTTTTGACACACATAGCAATTTAAGAATACATGTACGGAGAACTTTAAGGGTTACTGCCAAAGAACACCCCAATATGTATTCAGCAACATCTCCTGAGTACAGTGATACTACCCATGTATAAGTGTGTCGGGTTCTCTGGGGGCTAAAAGACCTTATTTGGAGGGTGCACATTCCAGTTTTCCAACTTGGAATTTTCACAGCTGGTCATCATGCACCCATGTCCTATTTGGGACATTTTTTTTAACCGGCCAATGTAATTTACTCCCATCAAACCATATATTTATGAAAGGTAGACACCCTAGGGTATTTCAAGTGGTTGTATTTTAACACTTTACATGCACTAATTCTTTTACAAGTCTTTGTCAACCTTTTGGATAGTCATTTTTTGTGTAATATTTAACACACATTGTACTTTAGGCATGGATTCTCAGCTCCTGTTATGCATTACTGCCAAAAAACACCCCAATATGTGTTAAGCAACATCTCCCGAGTACAACAGTGCCTCCAATGCACAGGTTGTATGAGTTCTTACAAACTTACAGGGGTCAAATGTTTGCACATTGAAATTTGCCAGATTAGTTTGCTGGGCCTATGTTGCCTTTGAGACCGCATAGCAGCCCAGGAATGAAAATTAACCCCATCATGGCATATAATGTGTAAAAGTAGACAACCCACGGTATTCAAAATGAGGTATATCCAGTCTTTTGTAGTAGCCACTTAGCCACAAATGCTTGCCAAAATTAGCATTCATATTAGTTTTTTGCATTTTTTATACACAAAAACTGCACTTAAACTGGTGATTTCATCATTGTGATAGGTTTTACTTTTTTAAACACTCATATTTGTGTTCAGCAAAGTCTCCCAAGTATAACAATAACCCCCATGTACAGGTTTTATGGTGTTTTGGAAAGTTACAGGGTTAATATAGCGCTTGCTCAATTCAGTTTGCCAGATTGGTTTGCTGGGTCTGTGTTGCCTTTTGAGTCCATATGGTAGCCCAGGAATGTGAAATAATCCCATCATGGCATACCATTTTCAAATGCAGATAACCCAGGGTATTCCAAATTCGGTATTTCCAGTCTTTTGTAGTAGCCACTTTGTCACAAACGCTGGCCAAAGTTAGCGTTTTTATTTGTTTAAAAAAAAAAAAAATCCAAGTTATATTTTATATATATATATATATATATATATATATATATACATTATGTGTCTATGTATATATATATACATATATATATATATACACACATACATACATATATATGCACACATACACATATAATACGTGTGTATGTATGTATGTATATATATATATGTAAATATATATATATAAATATATATGTTTTAAGGCCATAGGCCTGTATTTGTGGGAGGAGATTGAATCTATCTTATGCTATAAAAACTCCTAGTACCCTCTTACCTTGGCTGTTCTTGTTCAGGTGATACATTACCATGGTTACCACGTGAACTTACCTTCAGCCACTAAATCCGCTCCGGGCTACCAGCTTACTTCAAACCGCATCAGAGTCTTGTTGCCGGTCCGCTTCCGTGTTCCTGACGCGGTTGTTCGTGCTATTTCAAATACATACGTACGGTGTTCGGGGCATCATAAGAACTTTCGTGCCCTTCGCGGTGTTCGTGGAAACCAGGTTTCGTATTAATTCTTATGTTTCGTACGCATGTTAAACGACTGAACGTTCGCATAAACATTCCATTCACATGCGTATGTGTGGTTTAACACTTAGCTGTTATATTTTGTATGTTTCTCAAGCCACTATGCATTCACATGAATTTAAGTTAGTCATGTTTTGTTCGGTTGGATGGTATTTCAGTTGTTTTCCTGGATATTCGAGAGCTTGAGTCCTTAGCAATGTTACACGGAAACTGTTCGCTGAAATATTTACTTTTTCGGTATTTTCATGTCACTTAAGTGCTTCCTTATCTATAGTTTGGTTATTTTAATTAGTTTAATTTCCCATAAATTCACATCTGTTGTTTGCTTAAATCCGGGATTTAGCAAATTACCCCCTTTTTGTTTTTTAGGTGTTATCTACTAAAATTGGTTTTGGACTGGTGATAATTACATACTTCATTGTACTTATTTAAACTAATTTATGGCTCAATATTCAATTATTCATGTATGAGATATCTCAGGATATATATTATTATTATTATTATTATTATTATCGCTATTTAACTTCCTTTCTCAACATGAAATCTGATTACAGTCCTTACAACCCTTACAATCTACTTCAGCTGCCATTCTCATTACTTTTTCCTTATTACAATATACCCTTATATCCCTCATATGTCTGGTAGGCAATAATTCGCATAAATAACTTAGACCACACAATAAACACAGACACCGTTTATTTTATTTCAATGGGCTTGGCCGTGGTTTTTTATTAAAGCTTGCACATTGGGGCACACACCAAAACTTGATAACGGTAACATGTTAGGTAACTTTTCACTTAACTTCAAACTTTTCACTTCACTCCACCAATAATCATCACTTTATTTCCATCACTTAGTGCCTGTCAGTCATATCTAACCTGACCGCCTTTAACAACCACCACTCAACAATATCAATCCTCAGAACCTGAGGATGACTTTGCCCCAAGCTTCTAAAACACCACGACATTATTATTATTATTTTTTTTACAACTTTAACAAATAGGGAAGGGTGGGCGGGGTCCGCAGAGCTTCTCCCGTCCTGTCACGAACAGCTGGCAGTGAATCCCTTACTCGCCTCCTTTTATTCTTACCTGGCTTCCCGCTCTTTTGCTGGCTTGCTGCCAGCAGCCAATCCTCAGTCAGCTCCTGTCCCCAGCAACAGCTGTGTCACTAAAACTGCCGAGATACCTGTCCCCCTGCTGCCCAATCACTGATCTTGGGGTCATGAACTTTATCTCAACTTCTTTTAACCTTGACTGGACTTCATTAACCCTCTATTGCCACCTAACATATATGCCACAGTGCTTAGTGCGTGTTGCATCTTTTGTCTTCAAATTTGTAGTTTCATTATTAAAACCCCCTTTCTAGCTTCTCTCAAAGGAACACTCCAAGCACCATAACCATTATGGACCTTAAGAGTGGTTATGGTGCCTGACATGACAGACAAATTCATTCTAGAATGGTTTTGACAATTTACCTGGTCCTGCTGGGCACATGCAACCATAGCTCTGCTTTCAGGTTGCCTGGCAGGAGAATCCAGTTAGCTTCACTGAGTCAAGCAGGGCAATGCATGGCTGCTTTTATTGGCTGAGAGAATCAGCAGATGGCACTCAATGAAGAAGCCAGATGCAGCCTTAAGGAGAAGCTGGATGCAGTGCAGATACCCAAGGAAAGATGGCAAGCCATTCTAAAACAATGTTACAAATTATCTGGAAAGAAACCAAAGCACTTGGAGTGTTCCTTTAAGTAATATTTTCTTCTACTCAACTGCCAAAGAGTGTCCTCCCTTCATGTTCTCTTATCTTATCACTGGATTCTGTTTTGCCCTCTAAATGGCACATTCAACACAGAGATATTGAAAAGAGAATGTTCTAGACCAAGTACACCCCTGCATGGCAATGATGTTGCCTGATGGTAGTGTCAGCTGGAAGATGCACTCTGCCACACTACAGCTAGTGGAGTTCTAGTGGAGTCCATGCCTCAATGCATCAGAGCTGTTTTTACAGCTCAAGGGGGGCCTTCACGACATTAAGCCGGTAGCACCCCCCACGCACACAGCACTCCTCACACACACACACACAGCACCCCTCAGAGACACACACAGCACCCCTCAGAGACACACAGCACTCCACACACTCCGCACCCGTGCACACAAACACATACATTGCACCCCTCAATGCAGTATGTGTGTGTGTTTGTGTGTATGTATTCAGCAGTCTGTGTGTACTCAGCAGTCTGTCTGTGTGTATTCAGCTGTCTCTGTGTGTGTGTGTATTCAACAGTCTGTCTGTGTATTCAGCAGTCTTAATGTATTCAGCAGTCTGTGTGTGTGTTTTTAGCGGACTGTGTGTACGTACTCAGCAGTTTGTGTGTATGTTTTGTATGTGCGTGTATGCAGTGGAATGTTTGCATGTATGCAACGGACTGTGTGCATGTATCCAGTGGACTGTGTGTATGTATTAAGCAGTCTGTGTGTGTGTCGGTCTGAATGTGTTCAGCAGTCTGTGTGTATGTATTTTATGTATGTATTGCATTTGTTGGAGATACTAATAAATATAAGCCTAATTTTATCTATATTTTACATTTTTATTCCTGTGAGTTGTGTGTAGGCAGGGCCTCAGTGCACTGCTTTGCCCGGGGGCCCATAATATTGTTAAGGTGGCACTGGTGGGTGGAAGGGATGGAGGGCTGCGAGGGAGCACTGACTTACGTGCTGTTCCAGCACTGCTCCCTCCCAGTGGTGTATCCTGGTTTTGTGCTGCCCTAGGAGGATGTGCTGTGGGTAGAGAAGGGAAGATGCTGGGGGAAGAGAAGAGGAGAATTAGTTCGGACAACTGTATGAGTTGTTTTTTTTCTAAACTTAAACCTCAGTATTCAGGTTTAATTGCCGTGTTGGCACTTTGAGGGAAAAAATTTGGCATGTATTGCGGTTTGGGCACTCGGGTTTAAAAAGATTCACCATCACTGTGCTAGAGGGAGTGGGGTAAAGTGACACAAAAGGTAAGTGTAGGGGTAGAAAAGTAGATTGGTAGAAGTAATATTCAACAAGGGCTTAGTGTGTTTTTAATTACAGTTTTAGGAGAAAAAATATTATTTATTTTTTTGCCCATCTGGACAGTGGGGTATTCCTTTAATATTTAATTAATTTGATTAATTTTATCAAATCTTGTGTGTATCTGGTCTATGGATAAATCTTTATATGGCTGTTTGAGTTAAAGCTTAATCATGAATAAAAGCATATGCATTTGCATATTTAGACAAACATTAATAAATTAAATATAAATACTTTATATGTGAGAAACAGGATATTAAAATCAGATGTTAAGAATTGCAAACAAATAAAACATTCACAATTGTTTCACTAGCATAGATATGAGGAAGAAATGAGCAAGCCTGCCGAAAAAGCTTTTTTGTTTACAGTAATTGGAAACTGAACACCTTGTCTAAGAGCATCTTTTAGAATTCCAAAATTCTAAACTTCATTCTTTGAAACAGTGGACAGGTCAGTAGCTCAGGATCCCTTGATTCTAGTGCTCTCTAGAGTCAAGAACCAGAGTGGGCTGCTAACTGGGTGGCATGGCCATAACATCTCTCATGCCAGAAAAATCATCATATATTAAGTTTACATTTTATAGCTGGGAAGCATGGTCATTTATGTCACATGAGTAGACCATAAAAGCTCTGCCTACCAAGTCAACACCTTGATGACCATGCTGGCTTCCAGTTTGTCATTAATGATGGTCATTGTCTCACATACAATAAGCACTTAAATCATTTTAAAAGTTGAGATGTTTAGAACTTTTTTTTCTTATGGGCTAAATATACACAGGTGATACTTGAAAAATTTGAATATCGTGCAAAAGTTCATTTATTTCAGTAATGCAACGTAAAAGGGGAAACTAATATATGAGATAGACGCATTACATGCAATGCAAGATAGTTCAAGCCGTGATTTGTCATAAGTGCGATGATTATGGCTTACAGCTCATGACTGACGTGTATCCCATCATAATCCCACTGAATAACAAGTCCCAAAGGGAATTTCCTTTTTTATTGTATGTTCCTCACTAGTTCAGGAAGCATAAATAACTTTAATAGATAAATCTGATTAGCAACCAAAGATTGATTTGCTAACTCAGTGGTTCCCAACCATTTTTTTCACTTGAGTACCTCTTGGCAGTCCATTTCCATAAATTGTACCTCTCATACAATGTTTGTTATTAACCCCTTAAGGATGGCGGGCGTGCTATGCCATCCTTGGGGACCTGGCACTAAACTCCGGCGGGCGGCATAGCATGTCCACACCGTCCTTCCCATTTACCTATTCGCCGGTGATCCCACGCCAGAGATCGCGATGGGGGACTTACATGACACCCCAGGTAGTCCACCTACTGCCGATCCGGCCCTCCTGGGCCATGTGATCGCGAGACTCTTGTGAAGACCTCATGATCACATGGACGGATTAGCCGTCCATAGCAGTGCCAGCAGGGGGAGTCCCTGGAATGACAGGCAGTTCCCCTGATGCCTGTAGAAAAGTTTAATAACGTTTTAAAACAGTGTAAAATAATATATGCTCTCACTTCCCTCCTCTTTTAGATACGTACCCAGTCTCCACTCCTTCAAAAAATAATTAAACTTCTTCATAAAAGCGTATCAATTAATAACTCCCGACTGATTCCTCTCTTGCAACTGTCATTAGTCTAATACTATCCTTACCTTTTGTGTCACTATACCCCACTCCCTCTAGCATGTAAGCTCATTGAGCAGGGCCCTTGACCCCTCTGTTCCTGTGTGTCCAACTTGTCTGGTTATAACTACATGTTTGTTCGTCCACCCACTGTAAAGCGCTGCGGAATTTGTTGGCGCTATATAAATAATAACATAATAATAATAATAATAATAATAATAATAGATCACTTACACATACATATATATATATATATAATTTTTTTTTTTTTTGAGAAATGGCCCAAGAAGAAGCCTCCATTGCAACACACATGGTCCCTAAATAATTATTTTAGATTTTTTGATTGATAAACAGTCTTCCAGCATTAATTAAAACTACTTGCATAGAATATTCAGTGCAGAATAGGCATTTGGTGAGGTTATCCTGCAAGTCACCATAACATTTTGCTAGGGAAAAATGTTGATACGAAATAAAAGGATCAAATATCACATATAAAAGTAGCTCAGACATCCGATGGGATAAATCAGGAACCATGTGCTCGCTGTTCTCAGTCTTTGCTACACAATACATTTTCCTTGGGACCTGTGCGAGTTTGTGATTAATGCAGGACTTGCTAGAACCTCAATGTGAACTATGTCTTCTCATTTATGATGTCAGTATGGGTGAAATAGTGATACTCTACTACATTGCTCAGCTTGAACAGGGCTGTACCTTTGACTTCAAATCAATATTTGGACCAATGCCTCAACGGTGCAGCATGTTAAAAAAATATGTATATATATATATATATATATATAAATATATATATATATATATATATATATATCTTTATAAGTGACAAACACGACAATGACTCAAATTTAAGTATATAATATTAGGTTAGCCTGATGCATTAAATAGTTTAAATGTTTCCATCCAAGATGTTAGAATGAAAAAACAGACATATTGATTTAAATTAAAAATATAAAACATTCAAAACCTTGTAAGGAACGTAAGAATGTGCAAAGGGGAGTCAATATCTTTAGAACATCACACCGCTACATGAAAATGGTAACCGAATGTACAGCATTTTTCAATGTGATTTGCAGCAATCAATTAACAGTAGCAATTTGCTTAACACAAGACTATCATCCAAACTCTGTCATTTTATTTTATGTTTATTTGTACAGAGTGAACATGATTGTTTAAAAAAAAAGTTTGATGCACAATATAATAATTGATTATTTTAGACATTATAAAATACAATCATCTTTTTCCAAGTAACTTGAAGCCACGGAAAATATAATTTATATATAAATATTAAATTTTTCTCATGGTGAGTTGTGAGTGTAACTTGGAAAAATTCTGCAAAAGTAATTGTGTCTAGAAACTTTCTGCCATTTCATAATGGTATATAGTGATGTCGCGAACCCGAAATTTTCGGTTCGCGAACGTCGAACGCGAACTTCCGCAAATGTTCGCGAACCGGCGAACCGCGCGAACCGCCATTGACTTCAATGGGCATACGAATTTTAAAACACACAGGGACTCTTTCTGGCCACAATAGGGATGGAAAAGTTGTTTCAAGGGGACTAACACCTGGACTGTGGCATGCCGGAGGGGGATCCATGGCAAAACTCCCATGGAAAATTACACAGTTGATACAGAGTCTGGTTTTAATCCATAAAGGGCAGAAATCACCTAACATTCCTAAATCACAATCAATATGGATTGACACCTGACATATGACATATTGACACCTTGACATATGGATTGACACCTGTCCTCAGAGCCCCTGATGCACACGGACACAGAGCAGAATAGAGACTGGTCCCCTACATAGGGTCACTTGGCAGATATGGATTGACACCTGTCCTAAGGATCCCTGATACACACTGACACAGAGCAGAATAGGGACTGTTCCCCCTACATAGGGTCACTTGGCAGATATGGATTGACACCTGTCCTAAGAGTTCCTGATACACACTGACACAGAGCAGAATAGGGACTGTTCCCCCTACATAGGGTCACTTGGCAGATATGGATTGACACCTGTCCTCAGAGACCCTGATACACACTGACACAGAGCAGAATAGAGACTGTTCCTCCTACATAGGGTCACTTGGCAGATATGGATTGACACCTGTCCTCAGGACCATGATACACACTGACACAGAGCAGAATAGGGACTGTTCCCCCTACATCGGGTCACTTGGCAGATATGGATTGACACCTTGTTACAAACTGCTATTTGTAACGGGCCCTTTAAATGGCAAATTGCCCTGCTTCCCTGGGTTGTGGAGAAGCCTATTTGCCAGCCTCCTCCCGCATGACTATAGCCCCTGGGAGATTGTGAAAATGTATGCACTTTTATTTGGTGTGTATGGCCCTTTAAGACTGTCGGTGGGCATATTGGGGCTTATGGACTCTTTATGTGACTGGTGCTGGCCCTTTAAACACCTTTTTTGGGACATCAGGAAGATTGGGACACTGCCCCTTTAAGGCCGTGTCCCCAGACTTGTTGGGGACACTGCCCCTTTAAGACGGTGTCCCCTGTGTCCCCAGACCTGGTGCAAACCCTTTGTGCCTGCCTGGCTAATTCCCACTTGGTTCAGTAAATGGGGCTTACTGAACCAAGTACCACACAGGCAGACCACCCAGAAGTGGAAGTGTGCAGGCAATTTACCTCCCAGAAGCTGCGGTTAACCGCAGCTTAATTGACAATGCTGGGAGGTCTTTGTTCGTTTGCCGAACACGTGGCGGCGGCCATCTTTGATCATTCGACGAGGTCAGCGGTATGTGTAGCCAAATTCATGGAACTAAA